CAATACTGCCACTTATAACTGCACATGCTTGCTAGTTGGAACACTTTGTGTTGGCCTGTGAGAGGAGGAACAGGGCAGTTCTGTATGCAGAAACCCATCATGGCTGTAACTGGAGATGAAACCGGTAAGAACTTCAGATAAAGATTTAAATTCTGTAAAATTACTTTGGAAGTTTTGAAAAAATACTTACGGACCTCTGAGTATTTCAAAAGTATTGCTTTTCTAGTAGCTGAGGAATTTTATATCTATTCAGTACACAGGCATCTTAGTGTAATTGGTTCTGTGCTCAGTATTATTTGATCCAAGGCAGTTCTCTCTTTCTGCTTCACTAAAATAAGCTGTTACTTCATCTGCAACCTGTTACATATCCAGTGCAGCTACAAGTTAAACATACATACGGTTCAATTTGTAAAAAAGCCAAGCTTCCGATTCCGTGGCTGTGTGCAACGTAGCTCCAAAGCAGACCAGCGTTTGTGTATCGACTTGTTTCTTTGCTCGAGTGTCTAAAATGGTCTGTTCCTCTCTAATGGAGTTCAAAGGGCTGACGTCACTGCATTTCCTGGAATCGAGGTTCCTCAGGAAAGTGGAAAAGTTAAACTCCAAGCGGACTGCGCATTTACGTCAGCACCGAGTCAGGTTGTGATTGAGTCAGTTCCTTTCGGCTCCATCGAGCTGAGCAGAGCGCTGTTACTGTTTGAGGCTGTTAACTAGCTCCTGGCTTGCCTGTCTCTGAGATCGCTCTTGGACTGAGTAGCTTGATTTGTAAGCCTCACTTTAGGGTTTCTCTGCAGGTAAGTATTTACTTTAGAAAGCTGGCACCGCCCGTTTGTGGGCAGATCCCCCAGAGCCCTGCACCACTCCCGTGGCCACAGGTGCTGGAAGAGGTGGGCTCCGGGCCCTGGCACCCTCACCCCACCTCTCTGCGGGATTTACTATTCACGGCGCCCTCTAATGCACAGGCAGGGAAGCGCATGTTTGAAATCGCCCTCAGACCACATTCTTTAAACCTGTTATTTGTAATGCTTTCTGTGGTTTGGTTTTCTTAGTCATAGGTAATGCTTCTGATTTAGTCGCTAATGTCCTTTATGTCGTTGCAACTTTGTTTATTGAGTGGTGCTTTATTTCTTACCCAGTACTGAATTGCATTTGAATTCATGAAGAATGGATAATTGTAAACAGCTTGCTCACAAGTGGGTCTCAGGTCCTCTTCCTAGATAGAAACATTCCGTTGTCTTGAGCAAGTAACACCGGTATTAAATTGTTTTTAAAATTATCTTGAGCTATTGTTTTTCTCAAATAAGTTTTGTAAAGTTTTAGTGATGTTATAGATTGCAGAAGTTCTCAAATGGCAAATGTATTATAAGATGAATACAAATACTGCATGTCATATGATTTTAGAACCAAATGCATTTTGTGCATATATTCATTTTCTAAAAGTGATTAGTTTGTTTATATCTTTCTTAACTAAGCCTTTCAATTTACCATTTGACTTCTCTAAGCGTGATAGAAAATCAAAGAAAAAATAAAATTATTTGAAAATACTCAGAATATACTTAAAGATGAATCTTTAAGGTAAAAATTTGCAGCTTTTAAACTATTGCTTGTAAATAAATGAACATCACCCATAATGCTTATTCATGATTTACCCTTTCAATTCAAAGTTTTCTAAATGCTGAAACTTTAAAATGTCAAACTTTTTTTTTACTAGACCTCATTGTGCCTTTGAAAATCATTGTTTTTGGAAACCTGGTCAGCTCTGACACAATCAGTTCCATTTGAAATGCTGCTTGAAAGTGGAAAGGACACTGCCTCTTGTTTTGTTTGTTTGTATTTTGAGGTGGATTGATAGATTATTGGCTTGCAAACTTTTTTACCGTGCCCCACATTTATATCATGATGTGGTAGATGTGTGTGTGTGTGTGTGTGTGTGTGTGTGTGTGTACCCTACTTTTGTATAAAATCCATTTAAAAATAATGTTTATCCTTAATATATGTAATGTATTCATACTTTTCTACTTCCTTTTTAAAAATGCTATTCTTGACCCAAGAAATTATTTTTATAACTCACCAATGGTCTACATCTTACAGTTTAAAAAAATGATCTAGACCAAAATTAGGCTCCTAACAATGACTGGCCTGTGAAAGTTTTTTATGAGCACTTACTTATAGGATCATTGAATTGAATGTGAAAAGGAAATATTTATAGTTTACAGAATTATATCATTCTGTTGGATATAATTTACATTTTTATTAGAAATAGTTTTGGCTTTATTTATAAGCTGATGTTAAGAGCCTAACTCTTTATCTTTTCGTCTCTGAGTCTAAAAAACTCAGAAGTAGTATTCAGCATGGACATCTAACTATTAAAAACATACATTCCAATTAATTCAAATTTGAAAAATAGTATCTTAGTTAATATTTGATGCATGAGAATAGGAATACAGGGATATACATTTCACCTTTGTGAGAGGAAAAGTTTTTTTTTGGATATTTTCATATAAAAGAATGATTTGTAACAGTTGTAATAGCTTCTTGAAGTTGGTAGTAAGGCAAGTTATAATCATGTTGGAAGTGGAAATATGAGTCATAAGTTTCAATAGTATTCCAAATCTGTATGAAATTGCCATTATGCTATTTTCCCACTATTTTTGAAAAATTTTTAATGAAAGATAATTTGGGACAGTTGTTTTACTTTTCCCAGTTTTATTAGTCTAATAAAATAATACTTTGCATTTATGTAAACTTTAAAATAAAAAATCATTTAATGTTACAAATAAAAATAAATATAAATGCGGTAAGAGCTATCAAAGAAACTATCAGATCTTAAAGACCCACAAGTAATATAGGTTGAAGGGTCAGAGTAAGCCTCACTGAGGAAACCATTCTATATAAGAAAAGCATAACATACAAATCGGCTGAATGGTGTAATGACTGGTCACTATAATGCCCACTGACCACCAGGGGGCCGATGCTCAACGCAGGAGCAGCCCTCTGGTGGTTAGTGTGCTCCCACAGGGGCAGCACCACTCAGCCAGAAGCCGGGCCCATGGCTGGCGAGCACAGCAGCAGCTCCCACCTCCACTGCAAGTGGGCGGTAAGGAGCGAGGGCCCCGGACTGGGAGAGCCCTGGACGGCAAGAGAGATATCTGACTGCCAGCTTAGGCCCCATCCTCCAGAGGATCGTGCCAAGCTGGCAGGCGGACATCCCCCAGGGGTCCCTGACTGCGAGAGGGTGCAGGCTGTACTGAGGGACCCCTCCTCCCCCAGTGCACAAATCTCGTGCACCGGGCCTTTAGTATTTAAATAACCCATAAGGAAAATCAGTTTCCATGCAGTCTCCCTGATATACAGATATTACATTCATTTTGCATATAATAACACAGATCAGAGTGGATAAATGACTCTCCCAAGCTAACACAGCTAATAAGTGGTAAACCAGTTTGGCTCTTCAGACTAAAGTAGGTTTTCGGGTTACATCAGAGATCTGTTCCTAGGGAGTGACATAACGTAATTTTTGCCATAAGTTGGAACCCACCTACATAAGCACCTACATCACTCATTCATTACAGCCGTAATGAAGTGACACAGTAAAAAAAAAAAAAAAAAAAAAAAAAAAAAAATTAAAGATAACAGTTCCTGACCTTTATTTGTGGTAAATAAATAATAAAAAATATAAAGCACATAAGTTGAAATGACGGAACTTTTTTTTTTTTTTAATAAATGGAGATGACAACATACGTATGTTGAGTCCCACGTAAATCGAGGACTGCCTGTATCTGGTTCTAGTCACACCATTTTATATTGCTCCTCAAAGTTCACCTGACGTTGATAAACTAACACTGTTTATAAAACAAAAAAAGGAAGTTAACATCATTTTGACTACTTAAAATGGATTTTTTATAGAGTATTATTACTCTCCTAGGACAATATGTTTATTATATAGAACTTTAAATGTCGATATTTATAATTTTTTACAAACTTTTTTTTCACTCTTAAGATTTTCACTTAATCCACAACTCATGTGTAACTTAAAGTAAAAATTAACAACTTAATTTTATGTGGTTTGTGTTTGTAACAAATTTGAAATCTTCAGTGCTTAAATAGTCTTACTCAGGTAGGATTTAATTTTACTGGAAAAAGTGGAGCAATGGAGGAGGGAAACTTTTTGATAATGTTAGACGCCAGGTAATGACAATCTTGATCTGGGCTTGAGGAGACCTGGTGTGGAGTAGGGAGGGAGAGAACAAAGAAAAGTGAGGAGCTCTCTGCTTCTGAGTATGACCGTTACCTCTGTTGGCCCCTCTAGTGTACTTGGGATTAGTGACACATAGCAAAATGACTTATGAATGTAGGAGCTCCAAAAATAAAAATTATTTTGCTCATTAATGTGTTCAGTCCTATAGAGATCTCAATCGACAAATCATAAGCAAATAAAATCACCATTAGTGTGTTGATAAACTCTTTTACTTTGGAAACTATCAAGATGGTCATTTGGCTAGGTTTCTTATTTCTTTGTTAGGAAGAAACAAACACTTCTTTGATTGTGGGGTTTACCACTCTGATGAGATTATATCATTTTTTTTTGTGATTCCTCATCTATTTTAAGTTATTATATACATTTAAAGGGGTATTATGTGATATTATCTGTTAATAATTTATTCTCTAAAGGGATATAATAAAAATTATAAATGTTTTTAATAGCCATATTTATAAACAAAATAAGGAATAAGAGCCACACATGTCAATCATTCTATTACCTAGATTTGTTAGAAGGGAAACTCAAGGGAAAAATATATTTATGGATGTTATTTGCTTTTTAATTAATATGCAGTATAAGCATAATTTGGAACATTGTCTTTCAGAACTTAAGGAAGGGAAGAGGAAGGGAACTAACATTTGCTGAATGCCTACCATGTGCCAGGCACTGTGCTAGACACTTTGACATACATTACAGGGTTTATTGTGAGTATTAAATGAGATAATGTATCCCCATTTTACAGATGAGGAAACTGAACTTGCCCCAAGTCACATGGCTGGTAAGTGGCAGAGCTGCACTAGAACCCAGATTCCAACCCCCTCACTTCTCCTCCTGTACCGTGTGTAAAGCTTGCGCAGAGAGGTATGAATTGAGAGTTCCAGGAATTTTCTTTCCCGTGAAATATTTGATACCAAACCTAAAACATTGTTTTCATGTCAGGAGTTAGATGATTGGAAACACTAAAGTAGGACTACTCTGCTTCTAACATTCCAGGTTAGATTATTAGTATCTAGGGGAAGATTTAGGAAATAATGCATTTTATCAAGAAAGGCCAGTTTGAATAAGTCTTTTAGGGGTTTCCATGTATTAGGGTTAAAGACTTAATTATAATAATAGTATTATATTAATAAGGTTTCTTATTTGAAACATTCCAAATGACAGTGAGCTTGTGCAAAACCCTGGAAAGTTCAAAATTCATAGTGCATGAGTAAACTCACCAATCACCCATATATGCCAAGTGCTGTGCTGGATTGTAGGGATGCCACGGTAAAAAGGTATCTTGTCTCAAGTTTTTTGCTGCCTTAGAGTAAAATTAGTGTATCTTTTTTTATTATCTTTCTTCAATCATGAGTTTACACTCCTCATTGATGACCCATTTATTTTCATAAATAATTTATACAATGAAATTTTATAATAAAAAATAATTGGGGCCCTTTTAGTGGGTGGAACAGGAATTGGCTTTTCATTAAAGAATGTAGTTCTTTGCCAAGACCAGTTTGGCTCAATGGATAGAGCGGCGGCTTGGGGACTGAAGGGTCCCGGGTTTGATTCCGGTCAAGGGCATGTACCTTGGTTGCGGGCATATCCCCAGTAGTGGGTGTGCAAGAGGCAGCTGATCGATGACTCTCTCTCATCAATGTTTCTAACTCTCTATCTCTCTCCCTCTCTGTACAAAATCAATAAAATATATTTAAAAAAAAAAAGAATGTAGTTCTTTGAACTGTTATGCTAGGTATCTCATCTGTTTTAAATTATCACTAAACTTGTAATATTGGAAATAGAAGCTAATTTTTATATAAAAACTTTTCTATAACTTGTTTTAATAAAAAAACTTTTTGACATTTGGATTTCCTTAAAACAAGAGCTTCTCTTTGCTCATATCTTTTTACTGTATTCACTAATAGATCATATTTGAATATATGGAATTTATCCAGTGATATTTATTCACTATTAGACATGTATCATGACCAGAAATTTATACTAATTTCTGGTAATTTATACTAATTCATATTTCTGCTTGAACCAATAAAATAAAATCAGATTTTTGTTGAAGAAGAAATGCCTGAAAATTGTGTTAAAACCAGTTTGTTAGCTAACATTTGAGAATACATTTAAATATATCATCCTTTTGAGGCAGGATAGTAAGAAGCTAGGAAAATTTCTTGGCGGATGGAAGGGGAAAACTGAGGCAGATAGCTAAACAAACTGGCAGAGCAATTGACAGCAGATACGGAAGGTCACCCCCCGTAGAGATAATATCAAGGCCTCGGGTTTATCCCAGCTCTAGACTCAGAAAAGCAGCAAAACCAGGTGGAGGACACCAGGAGCAGCTGCAGTGGCTAATGACCCCCTACCCTGGCACTGACCCATCAGCAGACATTAGGATAACAAATGAGCACACCTAGAAAACTGATGAATATTCTGCTGAAACCTCCCCTGAGGTCTCCACTAAAATTCCCTCTGCAAGAAAGAGATAAAACCCTACAAAGAACCCAGCACATATACACATGGCTTTCCCTTCCTCCTCTTCTCCCATGGGTATGCATCACCTAAACTCCAGCAGTTCCCACAAAACTTGCAACTAGGGGAGCAATGGGCAGTGGCAGCTCAGCTGGGCTGACCCCCTGAACTTGTCCCTAAGGTCCCTTTTTTTTTTTTCTGACTTCCTAGTGAGTTTAAGCAGCCCTTTCCTGTTACTTCTATGCCAGGCTCTTCCTTGTTTCACTGTCCCCAGCTTTTACAAATGTCCTCTCAGTCACTTGGACGCAAATTGTGACATCTTTCCTGCATGAAGTCAAGAACGCACACACTACCTGCTGGCCCTAAGCAGACCCGCTCAGGGCCACGTCCCCTTTCAGATAACACTTTCCAACTTAGCACTTTAGGGTATTTTTTCTAAGCTGTTGCTCAACATGTTTTAAGAATGCTTCTTTTTTTAAAAATTATTTTATTGATTTCTTTACAGAAAGGAAGGGGAGGGATAGAGATCTAGAAACATCGATGTGAGAGAAACAGACCAGCTGCCTCCTACATACCCCCTACTGGGGATGTGTCTGCAACCAATGTACATGCCCTTGACCGGAATCAAACCTGGGACCTTTCAGTCCGCAGGCCGACGCTCTACCCACTGAGCCAAACCAGTTTCGGCAAGAATGCTTCTTTTGAGTGACCCTTATTCTTCATGGTGCCAGATTTGATCTTTTGAAGGTGGCTTCAGCTTTTGGAAATAGGCAAAAATTTAGAACCATTTCTGATTCTAAGATCAACGAATGAACTTTATTTTTTATCTGTGAAGTATTCCTGCCTTCCCTTTTCATTTAAAAAAAAATAGATATTCTGAAACTACTTTGTATATTATATAAACATCCTGCTTTAAGTACAGAAAAAAGAATATGTGTACAAAACTAGAGAGAATAATGAACGCTTCTGTAGCTTTGTATTAATTTTATTGCTCTTATTTGGGAGCAATTTGGCAAGAACAGCCCTAGACCAAGGTCTGCATCCCTGCTGCTTAAAATGTCAACATGATGACATGTAAACTTCTCCATCGTCACTGCTATTGTTCCAATTTTAGAAAGCCTTTGTAGGCTCCAGCTGTTCCATTGTTTCAGCCTTTATTATCCCATAACCTTCTTTACAGATGTTGGTAAAGAGAACAGAGAAGATAACTATTATTCTATGATTCAATCTTCTCTACAATCTGATTTAAATATGTCTATTTTAAATAGTAAATAAATAGTTTATAATTGACTTGAAAATTCTCTTCAAATATTTCAAAGTTATAAAATTTCTAACATATAATGAGACATCTATGTATATACTATTTTAAATTGTCACAAAAACAAATTTAGAATTTTTTCCAAGTTGGTGATCATTATTTATCATAATTTCTACTTATTATTTCTTAAATTATATATAGAAAAGGCAGTACAACATTGTAAGTGATATTTTAATTAGCCTTATAAAGACCTCTGATCTTCACCCAAAGCCATATTTTTATTGTTTTATTCTTTCCTTTAATTCTTAAGCCCATTGGTGGGGGTGTAAAAACTTGGCATTTACCCCAAAAAGAAACACATAGATCAATTTTGATTAACCTTTTAACCTAATTGGCTAGTTTCAGTAATACTATTCCACTTAACTGAAAAAAACATTTGTCTCCCTTTTGAGTAAAATTTCAGTTCTTAGTCAATGGATATAACACATTTTAATGAGATATAGAAGCAATGTGTTTCGTATTTTGATTAGTATTTGGTTCAGACCAAGTTTTATAGGATTTAATAACTTTAAAAACCATTTTCTTGCATTGATTTCTGAGGGGGGGCATATATTTTGTCATATTTCATCAGAATGTCACATGCACTTTGGATTGCATGTTCTCAAAGTTGAAACAGTGATGGTAGGAATGTTCATCACTTCAACCCATCTTTCTGTCTTAAGGAAGTTTTTTACTGCAGTAGATACACATTTTGATTATAAATTAAGATACTTTGAGGATTTTAGTATTCAATCTGAATACTAAATAAATACTAAGTGTCATTGAACTATAATTATACTATCATTGGAAAACATGCTTTTAACATTATCTCAATAAACCTAAGACAGACAAAAATTATCATTCCCCAGAGAAACCAGTTTTAAATAGAGCTTTGCTGTTTTGTTTTTTATTTGCTTTTAAATAAAAACACAGTGAGTTAGTATTTTCCTCCCAGTACTTATGTCATATTCTGGTGTTAGGACTTCCACTTAAAGAGATTAGGTGAGGGTATATAGGAAAATTAACTGGATAGAAATGTTCTGCTTAATTAAAATTTCACAGTGATGTGCTAGAGCCAGCTCCCACTGATTTGCTAGAACTGATTGTTAACTTTTCAGGATTTTTGTGAGCTGATTGTTAAAATAGCTATTAAAAATGTAAATATACATTTAACAAGTTACTTAAAAACTAATAAATACTCAAATTTATCATTTGTAATTTTTTACCTATGCTTTTGCAATTACTTACATCTATTTTATCTGTATGGTATGCTACTTACTGTGTATATCTTCCAAACTCTACATTCATTGAAGTCACATTGGTAGCTTGAAATTGGCCATGGTGCAAGCATTTACATCATGGGAATTGTCATGCTACAGATATATCAGAGCTTTTCCCCCACAAAGCTAGTTGTTAAACATTTATCAGCACATCACTGATTTTAGATTTAGCGAACTCTCAATTGAAAAACCTCTCTACCGTTAGCCTTTGATAAAAACTTATCTAAAATGCATTAGGGCATTTTCCTACCTTAAATGTATAGAGCGTGTGGAATATTATTGTCCCAAGTGCTGAAGATCTTTGATACCTACAATTTCTGTAATGCTCAGAATAGTCATCTTAAACATTAGCAAGATCACTTCTTTTTTTTTTTCCTAAATATATTTTATTGATTTTTTACAGAGAGAAAGGAGAGGGATAGAGAGTTTAGAAACATCGATGAGAGAGAGTCACCGACCAGCTGCCTCTTGCACGTCCCCCACTGGGGATGTACCCGCAACCAAGGTACGTGCCCTTGACCGGAATCGAACCCGGAACCCTTCAGTCTGCAGGCTGATGCTCTATCCACTGAGCCAAACCGGCTTCGGCAAGATCACTTCTTAAAACATGTAATAAGAAGTATATTACTTCCAGGTAATTTTATATGAAAATATCAAGTTCTAAATTGTTTATATAAACATGTAATATTTTATTGCAGCTGCCACTGGTGACATGCCAACTTACCAGATTCGAGCGCCTACTACTGCTTTGCCACAGGGAGTAGTGATGGCTGCCTCCCCAGGAAGTTTGCACAGCCCCCAGCAACTTGCAGAAGAAGCCACACGCAAACGAGAGCTGAGGCTAATGAAAAACAGGTAAGATGGTTCACTAGAAATCAGCAACCACTTACAGGAAATATAATTTGTTATTTTGGGCTTATTCAAAAATTACTTTTCCTAAGCTATTTCTCGCAAGTTCAGTATCAAGTGGCATTTTATGTGGACTTGTGCTCTGCATGATAGATTGTCTGCTAAGTTCCTAACCATGAACCTATTCAATCAGCAGGAGATTCATCCTTGTGTTAGAAAAGTAATGTCTGAAAGATACATTAATTTTTTTAATGATGATGGAAAGGCTTTATTTTATTTTAAAATATATATTTCTTTATTGATTTCAGAGAAGAAGGAAGAGGGAGAGAGAGATAGAAACATCAATGATGGGAGAGAATCATTGACCGGCTGCCTCCTGCACGCCTCCTACTGGGGATCGAACCCACAACCCAGGTATGTGCCCTTGGCCTGAATTGAACCTGGGACCTTTCAGTCCATAGGCCAACACTCTATTCACTGAGCCAAACTGGCTAGGGCTGGGAAGGCTTTATTACAAATAAAATTTTATTTTGTACTTAGTATTTATTTTGTGAAGTTAGGTGATAAGTATAATTTTCTAACTTCTTTATTAGTAAAATAAATTTGTATGTGTTAAGAATTTTCTTAAGTTTATTTATTTATTTATTTTTTGTTAATCCTCACCCAAGGATATTTTCCCATTGATTTTTAGAGAGAGTGGAAGGGAGGGGGGAAGACAGAGGGAGAGAAACATCAGTAAGAGAGACCCACTGATGTGAGAGACCCCCATCAATTGGTTGCCTCCAGTTCATGCCCTGACCTGGGCCAGGGATTGAGCCTGCAACTGAAGTACTTGCCCTTGACTGGATTCATACCCGGAACACTTCAGTCTGTGGGCCAACGCTCTATCCACTGGGCCAAACTGGGTAGGGCTCTTAAATTTTTTTACACATTTCATTTGATCTATTTTGTAACTTTGTTTTTTCTTGATTGTACTGAAAGACATCTTTATTCTGATAAATTGTAGTCAAATGAAAACACAAAACAACAGAAAGAATTAAGATTACTCATAGCCCCCCCCTCCCCCACTTAGGGATAACTACTGATATTTTCCTATATAATAATCCCATATAATAAAGAGGTAATATGCAAATTGACCATCAGTCCAACACACAAGATGGCTGCCCCCATGTGGACACAAGATGGCCACCACAAGATGGCCAGCAGGGGAAGGCAGTTGGGAGGGACCAGGCCTGCAGGGGAGGACAGTTGGGGGGGGGGGGGACAGGTCTTCAGGGGAGGGCAGTTAGTGGTGACTAGGCTGGCAAGGGAGGGCCATTAAGAGTTACCATGCCAGCTGGGGAGGGCAGTTAGGGGCAATCAGGCTGGTAGGGGAGGGCAATTAGGGCTGATTGGGCCTGCAGGAGAGGAGAGTTAGGAGTGACTGGGCCAGCAGGGAGGGCCGTTGGGGGCAACCCGGGCTGCTGGGGAGGGCAGTTGGGAGCAACCAGACCAGCAGGGGAAAGCAGTTAGGCATGACCAGACTGGCAAGGAAGGGCAGTTAGGGGTGTCCGGGCCTGCAGGGGAGGGTAGTTGGGGACAACCAGGCCTGCAGGGGAGGGACAGTTAGGGGCAACCAGGCTGGCAGGGGAGGGCAGTTAAGGATGACTAGGCCTGCAGGGGAGGGCAGTTAGGGGTGACCGGGCTGGCAAGGGAACAATTAGGTATCTATCAGGCTGGCAGGGGAGAGATTAGGGCATGATCAGGCTGGCAAGCATAAGTGGTTAGGGGCAATCAGGCAGGCAGGCAGGCTAGTGGTTGGGAGCTAGCAATCCTGGATTGTGAGAGGGATCCCAGATTGGAGAGGATGCAGGCTGGGCTGAGGGATACACATACTCTCCTACCCCGTGCACTAATTTCATGCACCAGTTCTCTAGTCTATAATAATAAAAGTGGAATATGCAAATCTACTGAACTGCTGAATAGTGGAATGACCGTTCGGACGACCTTCCAGATGAAGCCGGTACTGTGGGGCTGAGAAAGCTGGAACTCAAAGGCCCACTCTTGCATGAATTTTGTGCATTGGGCCTCTAGTAGTATATACATTTCTAGCCTGCTCTCTCTCATTTTCTCACTTGTTTTTGTACCCTATCACTGTAACTTTATTTTTTTATTTTTTGTTAATCCTATCCCAAGGATATTTCTTTCATTGACTTTTAGATTTTTAGAGAGAGTGGAAGGGAAAGACGGTAGGAGGAGAGAGAGAGAGAAAGAGAAAGAAACACTGATGTGAGAGAGACACATCAATTGGTTGCCTTCTGCATGTGCCTGGGCCAGGCCTGGGTTCAAACCTGCAAACCAGGCACGTTCCCCTGACCTGAATAGAACCTGAGGCCCTTTAGTTCATGGACTGATGCTCTAACCACTGAGCCACTGGCCAGGGCTGTAGCTTATTTTTTTTTAAAGCAGTATATCATACAAATGCTATTTCCCAAAATTATTTTTTAAAATCTAGTTTGCATATCATTTCTTGGTTTAATTTTTATTATGGAGAATGGTACAAATTAATCTGATTTTCAAAATGAACAGAATAAGAATAGACTTTTCCCAGTACTCTTGTCTTGTTACCTTATTTCTAGGTTTTAAATAATGTCCTCATTAATTAAAGTAAGAAAACAAAACATTTCAGATGGACTTAATGTGTTTTCCTATGATTAGGACCACATAGGAGTAGTTAATTTACTAGATGTGAGCAACCTGATTAACGTAGAAATTGTGGTTTCTGAGCCTCTCAAAAACAGAAACAACTGCTGAGTTCATCACTGTCCTCTGTAACGGAACGTGAAGCAGCAGCAGCGATTTTCAGGTTACTAATATAGCCTTTTAAATGGCACTATTTGATATATTATAGGACTTCTTATGTTTGTTACAGTTCCTGAGTTTATTAGTTATCACAAATTATGAGATGGAATTTTCTACCCTGTGAAACTCAACAGATTACCAGAAATAGGCTCATTAGATACACACATCTTTTTAAAAAAAAGTATTTTTTCATTGATTTCAGAGAGGAAGGGAGAGAGAGATAGAAACATCAATGATGAGAGAGAATCATGGATCAACTGCTTTCTGCACTCCTCCTACTGGGTATGGAGCCCTCATCCTGGGCATGTGCCCTTGACTGGAATTGAACCCGAGACCCTTCAGTCCACAATCCTCTATTCACTGAGCCAAACCTAGGGCTACCTTTATTTTTAGATTAAAAATTTTGTCAGAACTACAGAAACAAACTAGACAAAATATTAGGCAGTAGGTTCCTATAAAAGGTGTCCCACATCTACATACACATGTATATCAGCTCTCCCTAAGGGGGAAAATAAAAATAAAATTTAAGAGTTAAAAAAAATGATTACTTAATAACTTTTGGATAGCATTTGTGTTTGGGCTCTTAATAACCCGAGGGAATGGAGGCTCACCCTGGTAGGTGTTACCTGGATTCAGTCCAGAGGTGCATGCAGCCAGAACAAGGGCTCCACAGTGCCATCGAGGATCCAGCTCTTCCTCCCTGCTCTGTCATCTTGACTGTGACATTCGTTCTTGTGATCACAACATGACTGCCACACCTCCAGGCATCGCTTCAGTTAGAAAGAAGGGAGAAGAGCTGGAGCTGGAAACGTGGCTGCTTGAGTCTGATGCTTCTAAACACGCTTCTAAAGACCCTTCCCACAACGTTCACCCACATCTCATTGAGCAGAAATAGCTAATAGAATCTCTAGCTGTAAGGGATTCTGAGAAGGTTCTATTTTCGCTTTCCAAATCTCCATTTCAGAGCAAGACAAAGGAAAAACAGATAATAAATGGCTATTAGGTTGTTCAGAATCTGTTGAGTAAATACCATATGTAAGTTTTGAGTGCTTTATAACTACTGTTTCTGTAACTGTCACCTAACTTTCACATGCAAATAGGGCTGGTTATTATTCTTACCTTGCAGTTGAGGACTAAGGTTCAGAGAGTTTACATAATTCGTTACCCAGTGCAAAGTGGACAGAACCTGGATATGCAATCAGGCTTCATTCCAGAGCTTGTCCACTGCAACACCTGAGTCACCCCAAAAATATCTCAGTGTGAGTTTCAGATTTAACTTCACAGGAAGAATGTAGGTTTTTCTCATTAACATAAAAGAGCTTTTATACATTTTTCTCTTTTTATTCTTTGCTACCATTTATAATGGATATTTAATTATATTTCTACCAATCTGGTGAGTTTTTATATTTTTACAGCCATGTCAGTTTTTCTTGTTTACCATGTATTTTTTCTCCATGCTGAAGATATATCCAGACAAATGCAAGGCCTGAAAACAGAGCTAACTATTAATAGGAGAAACAGGTGTTTTCCATAGCTGAGAAATACTTGGGAATGTGCCATCTACTAGTGTGATTATTTAAGCTTTGTGCTTGTAACATTTGACTCTGATAGCACACATGTGCACACAGGTGAAATGCCAAGTATGGGTATTCACAGTAAATAGTACACCTTGGTAAACACAAATTTAAAAATTGATCAGCCCACAACACTGCTGTTAGATATTTACTTATTATTTATTTATTTTAAATATGGAACTTCACGAATTCGCATGTCATCCTTGCTCAGGGGCCATGCTAATCTTCTCTGTATCATTCCAATTTTAGTATATGTGCTGCCAAAGCAAGCACCTGTTAGACATTTAAATTTCCATTTAATGATGAATTCTTTTAAAAAAGACTATCTTCCTTCCATATTTGGAACTTAATTTAATTTTTATTCATTAAACCCTTGGTTTAATTGAATGTATTTTAGCTCCTGAATTGTGTCCACCAACTGGCAAATTTATGTGTGCTTGAATTTATTCTTAACTTTTTTCTGTGCATCATTAGATTAAGTTAATCTGTATTTACCAGATTCAGTTCACTTGTATATTATTACTGTTTTATTAACCAACCAGTTGAGAAGTCTAAGAACTTTGCGGGTTCACAGGGTGAGTGCATTGTTTTTGACTCGGAAATAAGGGTGATTTTTTTCCTGCAGTGCATTGGGATTTCAAGATCTTTTCTGCTGACTTTAGCTTCCCACAGAGAAAACAAATAGACAGTTATTAGAGTCAACTATCCTAAAAATACAGCAGAATTGGCCAAATCTGTTGTGTCCATCAATCCAAGTTCAGAAATGCAGCAATGGTAATGGACATTATAGTCATTGGTATTTTGACATTCAATACAACTTTTGGAGCTCCAGTGGCGCAATCGGTTAGCGCGCGGTACTTATACAATACAACTTTTGATAAAATGTTGAATTATCTTGCAATATAGGATTTTTTTATGTGAAGGTTACTCCAAAGGCATTTATTCTGAATTGAAAACTCCAAAATAAAATTATCAGGATACATCCTATAAAGGAATTAAATTATGAAGTTGCCACCCCTACCCACCCTGAAGAAAAGAAGAGAGAAAATATTAGTTGTTTTCTTAGTTTTGTTTTTTGAGGGTAGGGTCATGCATGAAAATGACGGTAATTCATCTATTTATTGTGTTTGTTGCATTGGCTGCTGGTCTATTCTTTCCTTTGGGCATGCCTACAGTACTTTAAAATTCAGTATGTCGGTTAGTAAATACAGGTGCTGGGCGAAGAGTCTTGTGGTGTGCTTTTGAGTTATTCAGTAGCTTCTTTTGCATGGTTTTAATTGTGGTGTCTCACATTACTGGATTTAAATTATCTGAATTATTGAATATTTATTATGTACCATGCCTTCTTCCTTTTTTAATTTTCAGAAGCAGAGTTCATTTCATTTTGGTTTATGAAAGTATGTATGACTTATAATTCATTTATTGTTATTTTTATTCGTGTTGTTTCTCAGTCAATAAACTGCAGTCGTGATTGATTTACTTGTTTCACTGAGATTTAGTCTTGAAGAATTAAAATCTCCCATATTGACACTTAAGGTTTCTGAGGATTGATTTTTAGAATCATTTTTTATCAAAAAAGTTAACTCATTGTGATGGAATGTGTGGCTTTTGGTGGATAAAAATGACTAAGATAATTGAAAGGATCTGTAAATGTTTTTGTAGAAATCCCACTTTGGGATATGGTTCTATTGTTTCAGGTTACTGAAAACCATTCTGGTCACTGTTCTCATGGAATTGAAGTTACAGCTAAGTTATCTACATACAATGAAGCATTTTTAGGAATGTTAGAAATTCGAGAATGTGATGAGAACATATTCTAAGAAAACACCACTTACGATGAATGCTGGTCAAATGGACTGTGCTCTCAAGTTGTTCCTGTTGTCTTAGTCACCTTAAAAAATGGCATGTGCTTGAGTACATTTGTCATGTGGCGTTGTGCAGATTTTACCTAGGACTGACTGGCTATTGAGTTTGGGGGGTCAGAGTTCATTGAGCCCCTCTGGATTGTGCTGGGAGGTTGTTCCTGAGTCATTTGCCTTGTGTTGGTTCCAGGGAAGCTGCCCGGGAGTGTCGCAGGAAGAAGAAAGAATATGTCAAATGTCTTGAAAATCGTGTGGCTGTGCTTGAAAACCAAAACAAGACTCTCATTGAGGAACTCAAGGCCCTTAAAGATCTTTATTGCCATAAAGCAGAGTAACGGTCTTTGACTTGGACTTTGTTTACTGTGAACTCTAATCAAGGCAGGAGATGGAGCAATTCTTCTAATTGCCATGTGGACATATGGAAGGGACATTTGTGACCCTTAAGAATCCGGTTTGGCTTAGTGTTTGAAATTTAATTAGAAATGTTGTTCCAAGATTTGGAGTGCAACCATGTCACATATAACAAGCTTACTTCAGCCTGTTTGTCAATAGCATGCATGCAAAAATTGTTTGTTTGCCCTTTCGCTTCTATTTTTTTCCAGGGAAGCTGCTAAAGAATGTCGACGTCGAAAGAAAGAATATGTAAAATGTCTGGAGAGTCGTGTTGCAGTGCTGGAAGTCCAGAACAAGAAGCTTATAGAGGAACTTGAAACCTTGAAAGACATTTGCTCTCCTAAAACAGATTAGTAGAAATATTTAACTATGAACTGAATACAACATGTACAATTGCTTTTGAAGGCAATACAATATGTAGCCGACAAGAATTATGGCTTTTTTCCTTTGTATCATTCATCATATTCTCGAATTTCTAACATTCCTAAAAATGCTTCATTGTATGTAGTTAACTTAGCTGTAACTTCAATTTTTTAAAAGAGTCAAACTACAAAAAATTGTATGTAACAAATTTTTAAAATGAAATATTTGTAAGACTTATTCTAATGCTACATATTTGCAGTTCCCAATTTCTGTGTCCTCAATAGTGTCCTATCCAATAAAATTTTCTGCAGGTCTTTTAAAAATCATTTTAGGAAAGGATGATCAAAGGTAATGCATCTGGCAATACAATAAAAATAAACCACAAAAAATATTATACTTTGGAAAGAAACTAGTGACATGCCTTTCTGATAATAAGAGCCTATAAATGAATTTATGGCATTTGCAGATTTTTATAATTAGTTGCTTTGTTCGGGAAATATTGTGTTACTGTCCTTGAATGCCGTAGTTGGAGGATGTTCTTTTTTTTTTTTTTTTAATATATATTTTATTGATTTTACACAGAGAGGAATTGAGAGGGACAGAGAGTTAGAAACGTCGATGAGAGAGAAACATCAACCAGCTGCCTCTTGCACACCCCTCACTGGGGATGTGCCCGCAACCAAGGTACATGCCCTTGACTGGAATCGAACCTGGGACCATTCAGTCTGCAGGCCGACACTCTATCCACTGAGCCAAACCGGTCCTGGTGGAGGATGTTCTTAATAGAACCATGTTGATTTCACATGTAGCGTTCGATGGTCATTTAACTGTCTGAACGTTTCCTACAATCTTTACTCTATTGTGTAATAGAAAAGATCTTGCAAAAGCTCCATTGTCGATGTAATGTTACTTAGTGAAAGTTACAACAAATTGTTAATAACCTGGAAGGGGGTAGAAGTTAGACTTAGAACTGTATTTGCAGACCTTCAGGCGTGCCCGGGCTGATTTCCACACCGGGTCTGGTTTCTGCAAATGCCCTTTCTGCCATCTCCTCTGAAGGACAGCCCAGAGTTGCTACACAGCACAACTACTGTTCGAGCTCAGCTCGTGTGGTGGAGTAGGCCTTTCGGCACAGGGTCTGGAAATCTGCTGACAGACTTCTATTCTGAGTTTTAAAGGTAACAACTATAGGAGTTTTAAAGTAAAAACAACCCAAGATTTTATTTTCCATTTCAAAACAGCTTGAAGTCTACATTAGATCAAATATTTTTATGTTAGCACACTTAGATGAAGTTCGTTACATTGAGACAGCAGTATTATTGCTGGTATCAACATTTCATTCTATGTTTATAATAAAAAGCTTCAAGGAATAAGCCCAAAGCCATAACCATGCCCTGTTCTTTGCCTATGTCTTCTCTCATTCACTCATAAGACCTTTGTTGAAGGCCTACTCTGTGGTAGACTCTGCTATGCTATATTTTCTACTATAACTTCTGCCTTGTTGAGGATGCCGCTCTCCCATCCCTAGTTTCTGTGATAGAACTGGTCAATGCATGTGGGGAGGTTCAGCAGCGGGAGGTCATTTATAAAGCATCTAACTACTCCCCCATCATAATTCTGTCACTTATTTGTAACTCAGAAGGCAGGGCATACCAGTTGGAGCTTTCCTTCCTTTAGAAACACCTTCCTTTAGAGTCTGAGCTCTAAATTTATCTTAATTTTTGTCTCTTATAGAGAAGTTAGATGAGGAAAGAAGACAAGAAGAATAAGGAAAACCCCAAGTTTCAGGTGAAGGAAAATGGTGCTTTGTCATTCGTTCAGTAAGCACTAAATCATGTGCGCCCAATGGCAGCACAGAGAAGACTCAGGAGTAGCAGACAAGCCGTAAATGCTGTGTGTGAGAATTAGAGCAACGTGTAGGCAAGGATTTCATAAGAATGTTTCTCTAGGAGGCAGATTTTGAACCAGACATGGATGTGATAGTGCTGGGGAGGAAGGTCCTCCAGATGAAATCCAGAGCTCACACTCCAAGGTGCTTAAATTTCGGACAGGGGGAAGGTCAAGCTAGTACCCACACAAGAATTAGTTTGGTATAAAAAAGAATGTGCTTCACTCTAAAATAGTTATTTTAGAGGAAGAGGATTGCATCTGATTACTTGGGGCCAAAAATAAATGTCCCCTCATCTCCATAATGCTTTAAAAATAAAACTTAGCCCTGGCCAGTTAGAGCGTTGGACTGCAGACTGAAGGGTCACAGGTTTAATTTCTGGTCACGGGCACATATCTGGGTTGCAGGTTTGATCCTGCATGTAAGAGGCAACCAATCTATGTGTCTCTCACATTGATGTTTCTTTCCCCTTCCCACCCTCCCTTCTGATATAAAAATCAAAGGGAGAGGGGAGGATCCAAGATGGCTGCTCAGGTAGACACCTAACTGCAGCTGCACACAACAATTTGAATGGAATACAACTAAAATGTAGTGTGGACATTGCCCAGAGCTACAGGTAGTCGACTGACCGAAAATTCTACAACAAGAAGGAAAGAGAAAACCAGAAGGAAAATCAGAGGAGCTGAAAAAGCCTAAGGTACAGAGACATGCTGCGCACGCGCGGAGAGGTCGCAGCCGGAGAGGAGGAGAGGGCTGGGTGCTGCCTGGCGTTCCCTAGCAGGAAGGAAATAAAAGCCCCGGCCTGGGCTGAACCCCAGACCTGGCAGCACTGAGCCCCAGATATGGGACAGACCCTGGGGACCCAGGCTCGGGCAGGGGGAGACGGGGCTGTGAGGCGAATCTCAGGGGAGCGGCGAAAAGCAGAGCCCCCGGAGTCGCGCACATTGGACGGAATGTTGACTCTGATGCTGGATTGCCCTGGCGGGAAGAAACAAAACCTTCGGCAGTTCTGAGCCCCGACTGCTCTGAACCCCAGTTCTAGGCCAATCCCTGGGTACCCAGGCTCATGCAGAGGGAGACAGAGCTGTGAGGCAGAGTCCCAGGAGAGCGGCGAAAGGCCGAGCCCCCGGATGCGCACACATTGTGTGCAGAGGACAGTCTGTTGACTCTGATGCGGGATTGCCCTGGAGGGAAGGAGAAAAAAAGCTCCAGACTGGAGGAACGCAACGAGGAGCAGGAGCCCCTGCCGGACACCAGCCAGTCAGGCGCCAGCAAGGAGCTGGGCAACAGGGCCCCCAAGGGGGTGGGGTGCCCCTGGGCCCTTGACTGCTGATCGCAGGCCACGGAGCCGAGGCTGAGGGCTGCTTCCTGGGCGACGCCAACCCCGGCAACAGGCTGAAGCAGCGCAGGAGCCTGCGGAGAACAAAGGGGTGCCACAGGCCAGCCTGCTGAGCTTCCAGGACAAGGAGGAAGAAACCAAAGAAGTTTTCAATATGAAGAAATCAAGTGAGAGCAAAAGATAGTAAAATTACTTAAGAAAGAATACAAAGAAGATCTTGAAAAATCAAAGACTAAGTCAGAACTCAATTCAGCAGCCAACATTGCAACATAAATGAGTTTTTTTTAAAAGAAAGGACAGAATGTTGGAACAGCGGCGGCCAGGCCTAGAGTGGCCAGGCACAAGGCAGTGGCAGCCGGGCCCGGAGCAGCAACAGCCAGGCCCCAGAGCAGCAGCAGCCAGAACCACAGCAGCAACAGCCAGGCCTGGAGCAGCCAGACCTGGAGCAGTGGCAGCCAGGCCTGAGGCGGAGGCGGCCAAGCCCAGGGTGGCCAGTCCAGGATCACCCAGGCCTGGAGTGGCCGGGTCCGGAGAAGCCAGGCCCAGAGCAGCCGGGTCGGGAGCAGCCAGGCCCAGAGCAGCAGCAGCCAGGCCCGAAGCGGCCGGGCCCGGAGCAGCACCAACCAAGCCCGGAGCAGCCAGGTCAGGAGCGGCAGTGGCCAGACCCGGAGCAGCTGGTTGTGGAACCGACCAGAGCAACAGAGTCCAGGCCCGAAGCAGCCAGGTCTGGAACACCTTGCTCCTCGCTTGCCCCCGCCCCAAGGCTGCCTCTCAGACATGGCTGGAAACTTTTGGGGAAACTTGAGGGTCTGCTGAATCAAGTGATGAAGGCTTAGATCTGGATTTGTTGAGTTAGTATAGCGCTGGGGTGTTGATCTGTGAGTGCCTTGTGTGGGGCCTGGATGAGGTTGATTGATCTATTTGGAAAAGTCTTTTGTGTGAAGTGTATCCTTGGGCATGTGGAAATATTATTGATTTGAGAAAATGCTAAGTAACTGATTTACTATCTGAAAAATTTAAAGTTCTGAAAGTTTAAGGTCTCTTGCCAAAAAGAGGTTTTAAAGCTAACACCTTAATTTTAATGGAGAAAGGGAATGATAAGCCCTTCCCACCCAGAACAGGTAATCCAATTCCAACCAGCAGCTATGTTTAAACAATGTGTCCATTTACACTTGAATGGCTACACCTTTAGATAGCCTAAGGGCAAGTTTACATGTAAACAAGTTTGCTCTCAATTCCCAGGGCAGAAAAAAAACAAAGTTTAAAATTATTAGATTTTAAAATTTCTTCTTAGAAGTGTAAAAGTTTATTAATTAAAAACAACAAAAAAAAGGAGATTGAAAAACCTGATGAACAATAATAGCTGTTCATTGTAGTAGATATGGGAGGGGAGTGGCCTGACTGTTCTGGGGGGAGAAGGGAGGGAGGATGAGACTGAACATAAACTGTGCACCTATGGAAGAGGACAATGGGGGGTGTGGAGGGGGTGGAGGGTGGGGTGGGAACCTGGTGGAGGGGGAAAGAAATGAGGAACCTTTGTAATAATATGAACAATCAAGATTGATTTAAAAAAAAATCAAAGGGAAAGAATATCATCCAGTGAGGATTAAACAAAAAAATATAAATAAGTAAATAAAATATTATTATCTCACCAAATAAGTCCAGAGGTAGGAAATCCTAGGCTGATCAATATAGTGACTTAATGGCATCACAACCAGACCTTTCCCCCTGCTCTGTTTAGGCTGGGTCCCTTGATCTAATATTGCTGCCCCAGTTTCAGGGAGGAGACAGGCAGCATCTCTTCCTTTTGTCCTATTTGAAAAGCAAGGACAACTTGCACAGAGGACCCTCTGTGTCCTTACTAGCTAGATTTTCATCATAACTAGTCGCTGGTAAGGAGAATGGAATTAAAAGCACTGGATTTCCAGTGAAGATTCAACTCCTGGGGTTGGGACCGTCCCAGGCTTCTGTGAGGCATGGCCATCAATACTGAATAAAATGGGTTCTGGAAGAAAGCTGTTGATGCAACTGACAATGCTGCCATCCAGAGATGGTAAGGACATACATTGCTCGGAAGGTGGTAACAGCTTGAGATAACTAGGGCTTCAGCTGAGCTCTCAAAGGTGCATTGGAACTGAATTCTTGCTCATTCAGTTTGTCCGTGAAACCAAAGCTCTTGCTATGAAAATAGCTTAGTTTTATAACTCTCAGCCTCCAATAGACAATGCCTACAAATGTGCTGAACACAGCAAGAAGTAAATT